GTTGAAGAGGGGGTAGAGCCTCGGCCGTGCCTAAGATATGGTTAGAACTGCTCAGCCGACAAGAGTACATAAAACTTACCATCCTTCATTTCTTGGTCTTTCATCACAGCTTCTGTTTATCTACATTAAGTAGACAATCCTTGGTGTGGAGTAGGGACAATACCTGGATTTGTTAAAGACATATCAGTCAGAGAGTAGATAGCTTTTCCTGGGATTGCACTGTGTGGTTGGTGATGAAGACGCATTGTTTTTCAACGGTGGGAAAGCAAGCCACTGCAGATCGGCCATGGAACATTCTGCGGATCTCGGTTGAACATTGTACGGATCTCGGTTGAAGTAACGCCACCACGTGACCGCGTTTACAACTTCGTAATTTCACATTCACCATTGTCCCATTCCGACGCGCACATTCACCACCCTCGATCGTCCCATTCCCACTTACCATGTCCACTGCTGAACTTGCTCAAGCCGCTCAACAGGCCCATACACTCACTCCCGGGTTCTTGGAGGATGTTAGGGTGGCCACCTCCACGCTTTTGAACTTTTACAACCGTCACAGGGAAGGTCTTCTGGCCCACCAACGGACGGTGGAAGAGGATGCATACGGGAAAGCTGTGAGTGACTAACAATGATTTGTTGACTGAAATTGGATCTCTTTCTCCTACAGGAACGATTTGTACGTTTGCTCATCGACAAGAATATGTGGTATAACGCGGCCCAGTGGCTCAACCACCCTTGGATTTTGGCGTACACGGAAATGGCCCAAGCGGGACCATCGGTTGATTGGACCAAAATGTTCTCGATCCCACAACCCACCGCCCCTACCTTCTTTATGGAAGGTTATGCCGGTCCCTCTCCCCCTTTACCTCCATCTTCGACCGATTCATTGCTCCCAGTCACAGTCCCAACTCCCCCATTGCCGGTACCGACAGCTTCATCATCGCTCCCGGCCCCAACAAAACCAACGCGTCGGGCAAAATCAACCGATCCTGTGCCAGCGGCTGAAACGAAGTCCAAGAGTAAGACGAAGTCTGGGCGAAGGAAACCCGAGGCCGGGTCCAGCACCCAGCCTAACGACACCGCTGCCCCAGTCCAAAGCAAAAAAAGAAAAGGGGACTCGATCGAAGCCAGGCCAAAGAAGACCAGAGTCGTGAGCGCGGAGTTCATCAACAGCAGTGATGAGGAAACATTGAAGCCGAAGTCGGAGTCACTTCGACCGGTTGGTGGGGAAGCAAAGGCGGTTAAACCCAAGTCCCAGCCCCATTTCTCCCGCATGACACCCAGTGCCGGCTTCAGTCTCATCCGAAGGCCCAAGTTAGACCCCGACG